TGATCTGATTGCCCAATTGAACTGGGAGCCAAAATCATACATAGTTAACTTTTTAAACAAAACATACTTGATCTTCCCCCAAAGAATCCAACGGATTGAGTACAAGCACCACTAGCTTCCTTTGTATACATGTGGTAGTAAAGCTCTGCTATCCTTGACTTTCTGTATCCAGTTCCAGCAAGGACAAAGCTGTGATACCCTTGAGCAAGATTACAGAAGGTGTCCACCTGTAGTTTTTTTGGGTCTTCTTTATAATTTTCTTTTGCTTGACCTGTAACATAGTCTCTTAAATTATCATTGTCTAAGCTCGTAATTTCTTGAGTCAACTGTAGATTAGCCTTGTTTCCCTTCAACTTTGCAGGTGGTAATGAAGTCAATTCAGCACGTGCTTCAGATGGATTCCGGGCTGATATCGCTAGTGATGACCCGTCCATAGTTGCACAACAACGATTGTGTACAGCTTCGTTGTCTTGTTGTCTTAGATTCTCAAGGGATTAGTTGATTACCCTTATCTCTTCAAAACAAAACACAATTGATCTCAAGACCCTGGGCGCATACATGCACAACTGAAGCCTTAATCAGGACGGTTGAATTATAGACTTACATTCTCAACGGCTTAATTTGTCTGAAGTGGATTTTATTACCAGCAGAGGGACAATGCGCTACCCGCTATTACCTCCAGACATGTTTTTCAAGCTTTTAAAGCAAAGTATTACAAAATTTCCAAAACAGATCCCAGGGAAGGAAAGCCAGGATGCAAGTGCATCTTTTCTTCCGCGGAGCTATCCATCTAGCTCTTAAAACGAGCAAGCTACAGTCTGTGGAACTTGAACCACATTTTTCGAAAATCCCCTCTGGTGAGTAGAGGCACTTTGATTGTAAGTCCCTCCCTGCGGGAGGGGTGGCTTCGCCACCAGCAAGCCTCCCACCAACGCTGCCACAGATACGATACACTGTGTGTATCATGGAGAATTCTGCAAAGCTGCATGGCCAAAAACCAAATTTGTTGAATCTCCTTGCAAATAAAAGCAGATTGGTCAGATAGTTTTTTTTTCATTGGGGCTCAGATACATAGTGATACATGGCAGATACGGGCAGATACCGTATCTGTGGCAGCATTGCTCCCACCAGGGGGGACTTTGTTAAGTTAGCCGGGAGCTTGGTTTTGGGTGGTGGCATAACACTGGGCTGCTACACTGAACAGCCCACTAATGTTAGCATATTGGCCCTCAAAACAGCGCACCAAACCTGTAGTGTTAGTGCGCTGTTAGTTCCACTACGCTACGATGCCCTACAGCGCTTTTAGGTGCAAAAACACTAAAATGCACTGTAGCACAGCATAGTGGGCCCTTTTTTGCCGCCCACACACGTAGTGCTAGTGCAGTTGTGGTGGAATTCTGCTGCACTACACTAAACATTAGTGGAATTCCACTACGTTATGCTGCACTCTCCTCTACGGTTAGCGTAGCGGCCCAGTGTTGGTGGTGCAGCAACCCCTCCCACAGGGGGGGGACTTACGTGACCATCCACCAAAAAGCAACAACATCCCACTCTTTAAATTTTACAGCCTGTAGTTTATCTGTCTCAGCTAGCAAGAGTTATGGTGTTGCAAGCCCGCCTGGCCACACACTAAAGTTTGGCCAACAAAAGGCCGCAAGCACACTGGGCCCACCCCAAAGCCTGCTTGGCTGATCCTCAAGCACACATGACACCCTGCCAACCGCTGCTTGGCACATGCCAAAGTTGGCCAGGGTTTGCGACAAAGTCTTGAATGATGGATATCAAGCAAGGGTGCCACACCCGCCAACATGCCACCCACTGAGAAGGAATCCCTTCCAGATGGCCAGCTGACTACAGGTTCTTGATGACCAGTACTGTACCAATCATCAAGGAGGGCGAGTAGGTTTGTACCAGTCATTGAGAGGGAGCTGTACAATACCTCTCAAAGGCCAGTACACACCAGCAGCTGAGTCAGGGGCCAATGCTGGGCTTGTGCACAGGAGCACCTGAGCTATCAATTGGCCCGGGACTTGGCTATGTGCCAAGTCCTGCCCCCTGCCTAGCTTGTCAGATCAAGCCCTCTGGGCACATTCCAAACCCCTGGTGGCACTCGGCCCAAGCAGGACTTTGGACTGTGTCCAGACTGGCTTGCAAGACCATAAAATCTTGGGTATTGTCTCAATTGCCAGAACTGATCAGCTCATCAAAATACTGATACAATTTTTCTAAGCTGGTTTTTGAATGTCAATGGAGTCAAGACATCATCCATCCTCCTGTGCTTGAGTATGATAAATTTATGATTCATTGATCTTGCTTGCTTGACCATTTGACAATATATCTTGAAAAACTAAGCTGATGATAGCAATGGTGAGGCTCCAATGCAGATCTTCATCAGCGGAAACACATGTGTAGCTTGGAAGATGAGAGAGCTATGAGTTGTGTAACAGTTTAGAGATGTCATCAGGTACCTGTTTTCCAAAACAGGTACCCAGAAACGGGTGCAGGCATTTGGGGTGAAAAAACAGGCAGGTACCCAGACCAGGTGACCACCTTACGTCTGCCCTGAGAATGAATGAGTCAGGAGGCAACAACTCAGCCCTTCATCAGTAATTAAAGCTATGGCTGTGGCATTTTACTCCAAGAATGGGAAAATAAAACCTGGGGTATTGCATAAATGGAATTTGAATAAGGCAAATGAAGCCAAGCAAAAGGGTAAAGGCTAAGCTAAAGACAGATCAGAGAGAAGGTGAAGTGCAACAGTTCTTTTTTCATTTATTTCTATGTTAGTCATACATCTAGTCAATGTTGGTCATAAATCTAGTCATGAAGCAATACAAGGGTGAAATTTCTGGGCTTATTTTCTATCAAAAAATCCTCAAAACGGGCAGGTACCCACACCCACTTTGGGTACCTGGGTATGAAGTGACATCTCTTGTGTAACTCAACAAGTTTTTGAGATCCTCTCAGGCAAGCACCCCTGCTTTAGGCATAAGTCTCTCCCTGCGGGAGGGGTGGCTTTGCCACCAACCAGTGCTTTACACCAGCAACCCTCCCACCAGGAAGGGACTTTGTCAAGTTAGCAAGATTGTAGCCTGCGGAGGGAGCTCAAGGGACTTAGCTAAGTTTGAGCATAGAAAGACTTAGATCTCACTTACACCATCTACATATACCACTCACACCCCCACTCCTACACCACTATTTGGTATGCACATTCCTTCCTCAACAGTAGGGGGTCTCAAAATGGAAACCAACCCAGGTTCCAGGAGCTCTTGCAAGTCCAAAAAGTCCAGGGGAAAAATGACAACAACCCTGAACGCTTCCTGCAGACCTGCCGTAAATCAATCAATAAAATCTCATACATTTTTTTCCTTGACCACCCATCCCCCAATTGCTGTACTTAGTCAACCATCAACCTTCCCTGATTACCCTTGACCTGTGCTTCTCTCCTGTACTCGTTGCTCATTTCATCTTCATGTGCCAAGTCTGCTGGTATACCCAGGTGCCACCGCACTTCATGTGGAAGCATTCTTTTTCCAATGTCTCTTTCCACAAACACCCATCTCTGTCCTAGGCACACATGATCTTTTCTCCTATTTGTCCCATGACCTTTTTTTTGCTTTCCTTCTTCTTTTCCTTTTTCTCTCCTTTTGTATAATTATTAATACTGAACACCTGTATGTTTTTCTGTCCCAGATTTCATTTGTATTTTAGTCTCATTTTCATGATGTGGTTCAATGGTTGCTTTGATTTTTCATCTATGATTCCACCTCTACATGTCAGACCCTGTTGTTTTTTGTTTTTCAGTAAGAAAGATCCTTACACTCTCATAATCAAATCAGAATAGGAATGTTGTTTGTGTTTGTCTCACCTCAAGCCTTGTCATGGTATCATTCTTGTTTCATTACAGACTTTGCATGTTGTTACATCTTATACTGATCAAATAAATGACGAGTACTCTGATCCTGTCATTTTCATCAACAAAAGAGATGTACAACAGTATCAACAGATACATAAAGAAATAAATGGGGAAGACTAGAACAGATGGCACCAACTTAAGTGAGCACATTTTATCCTTAGTAGTTAAGTCCCCCTCCATCAATATAGACTAATTGACAATTAAGAAATTTCTCTGTAAGCAATATGAAAACGTCTTATGGCTAGAGAGAAGTGGGATTGCCAATCGGCATACCATTGAATAAACTTTACATGGACGTTTTGAGGGCAGTTTGGGTTTGCAGCTTGGTCACTGAGATGATTGGACAAAAGGTTCAGGGGAGCTTGGAAGAGTTTGGCAAGATCTGAGACTTTTTGGAGATTGATATTGCGGCGAGGCGCGTAATTACATTCGATGTTGTCGTAAAAACTCATGAGTTTGGGAGGGATAGAGACGGTGAGGTCGATGAGATTCAAGAGCTGAGCAGTGTTCATGTCTAATATTGGATAAGAATCTTCGCTAGTTACTCTAGAAATCTTGTTGAAGAACAGTCTTGAGAACTTGAGAATCAGGATGAATTCACGTAGGGGTTGGGTATGTATGTCTATGTTCAAGTCCAGCCATTCGACCAACTCCCCGAGTAAATCCTCGAGCTCTCCAGCCATGTGTTTCCAGTGTTCCCGAATCGCCCCTAGCTCGGACATATCACACCACTCAATCAGATGCTTTCCACAGCCCTCCGTAAGGTGTATCGAGCTGATCAGATATTCAAAATCTTGTTTTGCCAATTGTCTCGTCTTGGTTCTGTGCCTAGGTAGCGGCAGTAGATCATAATAACTGTGAGAATTGGAAACTTAAGAGTTATATTTGCAATGTCAGAAACCTAAAATGAACAGTTTTGAGGTAGACAAGGAAAAATGAGAGTAGGAAGAAAAAGAAAGCGTCTAAGTACCTTAAGAGCAAGGTACGTAGGTGATAGGACTATATATGAACAAAAAGGAGAATGTAAAGCAAGTTTTAAGAGAAGAGGAGTAGCACGATAGCAGAAAGGAAGCGTGATGTGCTTAGGAACAGAATATAAAGGTTTGTACAGTAAGAAAAGTAAAAGGGGCTGTCTTAAAAGACGAGAGAGAAAGCAACAAGAGGTACAAGAAAGAGAAGACAGAAATGCGGAACGAGGTTGTCGCAGGTCTGTGTGATGATGATCTGGATATCGAAGATTGATGGGGGAAAGCTTTTGTGGAAAGATGATGATTCGATTTAGTTCGCAGATGCTGGACACAAATGGTCAAGGAAGGTCAGCCTTTTTATCTCTGTGCAAACAGGTAGGTCGTCTGTTTGTCACTTACAGACCAGGGGTCCAAGCATCGCATGAATCATGCGGTAACTGGCTCGTGACCGCGTTGGTCCACTAAAATCTCCTGAGCTTCGATACCTGTGGCATCGGTAGATAGGGTAAAGGAACAGTCAGCTCAGGGCTTTTCACAGAAGGGGTGTTGTGCCCTCAACTGGTTCAGTTTGTTACTCACAAGTGAAGACTTGGTTAAGGAACACGTTTGAGGCTGAAGCCTCGCAACGGGAGTCAGGGTTCGAAATCTGACAATAACATCGAAGGAACTCCAACAGGTTGGTGAACGCATCAGTGAGTTTGGATTGGACGCGTTCACATTTATACCGTTTGAATCGTTCGGTATGTCGGTCGGACTGGTCATATGGACAGAAGTGATGTCGATCGGGTACCCAAAACGAGGTCATCAAAGTGCAGATTTGATTGACAGTACTTTCGATTTCATCCAGAACTTTCATTCCGTTCCGAAGTCGAGGAGCCTCGAGCTGTTGGAGATAGATCGAATCGGATAACGTATCACACAGTCGATGGAGTTTCTCGGGGATGGATGGCAAGAGAATCGTCTTGATTCGATCCACGTTACCTTCGAACTCTGACGAGACCTCGATTGGGTCCCGAGCCACCTGCCGAGTCGTCGGCTCAAATTGATGGATCTTTTGCTGGAGAACTTCCATCAATTCCGCAACCGCCTCGACAAACAAATCTGTGGAAAAAAAAGAGCCAAGAAGCAACGACATATCAGAATACTGGGATCGGCTCGTCATGGTAAATGGTTTGGTGCTTCTCTTTCACTCGCTCAACAATCGTCTCACCTAGGTATTTAGGCGACAGAATCTTCACCGTATACGGTTCACCTTCCATCTCCTCTTGCTGTCCCTGTAATGGCATCTCTTGGTCGTTTGTGATCGACATCTGATTGTGGATGTGTGTAATTCTCGGCACCCTTGGTCTTTTGAGGTGAACGCAATGTGATTTCGATTTCCAATTCCCGGTGATCGACACGTCCTGTGTACCTTGTGGATGAGAAACAAGAACTTTTGAATAATTCTGTAGAGAATCAAATCCCAGATTAACGCTCTACTCAAAACCACAACCAGCTCACATGAGCACCTTTTCAACAAGTGTTCTGAAAAAATATTCTTTTTTTTGCCAAAAATTAAGACCTTGGAGGTGTAAATCAAATTCTGTGAGGAAATGGATGACTTCCCGTCGCGGTTTACAACCCTCCCAGAATCTGATTTACACCCCCTAGATCTAATTTTTGGCATTAAAAATAATTTTTTCACAAGCCTTTGAAGATAGCTCTCATGTCAGCTGGTTGGAATTATGATTGAGGTATTAATTTAGGACTGGGTAGGGCTTAAAAAGCACCCTAAATGGTGACGGGAAGTCCTCCAATGTCGACTGGAAAGTGCCCCAACAACAAGTTACAAGACAACAGCAGAGGAAGATTCCAACTATGTAAGACTGCGACTTTGAACAGGTGTCTCTCAACCTCAGGGAATACTTTTTTTTGGGAGCCAAATTGTCAACCTCCTGCAGGACTTGACAAATGGTGCCCTCTGTCCACCAACCGGACATCCTGAGACAGTACCCAGGCATTCTTGATCTCAACATCCCCCAGATTTGGGAGTCAATTAACTAAGCTCCTTTTGTTATTCATCCCACTTTGGAATTAATTTTTACAAAGATTCATAAAAAGCTGTAAAAACATCTATTTCTTTTTACCATCTTGCACCACACCAATACCCTTGATCTAAGGTAGTAAAAGAAAGTCATGATCTTTGTTTTTATCTCATTGCAAAATTTTCTGAAATAATACATAACAATTATTATATACAGAACTATGGGATGATTTGCTTTCTTATGAAAGTACGAGTGATTTTGAATCTGAATATGTGGATTTTGTTGGGTTAAACTTATCCTGTAACATAAGACTGAACCTCAATTTTGATCTTGATACTTGTATTCTTAATTTATGATGCAGTTTGAAGATGGCTGATCTTCTGAGATGTTGCTAAATAAATTGTTGACATCTCTAATCCAATTTGCCACATTAATTTTCTCTTTGGATACATTGGCTTCAGCCATAAGATTATTTTTGCAAGATTTGACCTCAGATTTTTGCCTCATGTGTTGAAATTGATTTTGATGTTGCTTGAGGACAGAAAATGTGAAACACATCTTTGATAAAAATAGAAGCTTTTTAGAGTGTTGATATGCATAGGGATAAATTTTGTCTAGAATACAAGAATCATAAGTTATCATGAAATTTAAACAAGAGTAAGCCATCAAAAACTGGAAAGTCTGAGTTTTTTGTGCAGACCCCCTTATAGATGATTCATTTTGAAGATTGAAAATTTCAATGAATGATTTTATTGAAAAAATAAACTTCTGATCTATGATATTTTTTGTGTATTGTTCTGATTGGAGGACAAATTGATTTTCATTCTTATTTATCAAATTTGTTTCCAAGAATATTTGAAGAGATTGCTCAATTTCCAGAGGATAATTATTGATTCCATCTGGGAATACCGAGTGGTATCTTTCTATTATATGCCTCAAGACAACATATTCAAGACACTTCTGTTGTGCAGGTTGAAGTTCTAGATCAAATTTGATGTGCAGTGTATAATCAGGTTTCCATGTTTTGGTAACAGATGAAAAGAAGATATGAGAATTCAGCCTCAAGGCAAAATGGATGTATTTTTTAGTCAGGAAGATCAATAGAAACTCTGAAATTGAAAAACTCACCTGTGATTGATCTGTGGAAGTGTTTTAAGGAAGGGTTAGAAATCATGAGGTCTATTTGAGGTGTCACCCACTCAGGACTTCCAAAGAGTTTTTTTCCTTTGCTGATGATCAAAAGGTTGACATGGAATTTGACCAAGTTGATTACAGTTTCCGGCCTGTAGAGTTCAATTTCTTTTATCTCATTTTTTGAAAATAATTTGTGTGTGTGAATGTAATCTCCCAAAAGAAACAATGATCCCAGATACTTCAACTTGATCTCTGGATCATCTTCCTCCTTGCATTTGCAATTGATGAACTCTGCTTGAAGATAATTCCAAATTGGAACCACTTGAGATGTGAGAATATTTTTCAACTCAGCCATTTTTGTGTTGTGATTTGCTTGGGATCTGCCAAATTGCAGAAATTTCTTAGATTGACGGGATGGATTTTCAAACAGAGGTTCGACCAGGCTTTGGGGCATCCTACTTGCAGGGGAAGCAGTCTTCACAATTGGCATTTTGAGATAATCATGTAGTTGCTCTAGATGGTTTGTAACATCTTTCCAATTCTCCTGGGTGTGAAGTTTAAGCGACTTGATGCGTTGGTTAATTTCCTTGGTTTTGGACTCATTAATTGCAGTATCTGAACCCAAGGCAAAGTTAGCTCTACAGCAGAGGTGGCAGGATACAAAGTGGAAAGAAATGACACAAAGATTCACCTTTTGATGCAACTCGCATCACATGGCTTTTCTCCGTCTCAATTTCACTCAACCGATCTCGCCCAAAACGTTCTGAGACCGGCGCCTCCATTATCTCGGCTGGATTTGTTGATTCAAGGTCCACTAATGGGTGTGGTGTCACACCTTTCGTGGAAAAGTGCATACATTCTCCATAAGTCAAGGATTCCAAGGAAGGAACTCCCGTAGAAAAGTAAATTGAATCATACAATATTCTGCTCCATGTTGGCTTACTCCTTCAACCATCCCGCTCGACAGTGGTATCTGATTGCATCCCAATGCACCCAGAGCAATGAATAAAAACGGAATCTGTGACCTATGCACCATGTTGCTTGACTTTGAAGTGCACACCAAGAGGAGTAAGAGTCAACCTGAGTCGTCTGTGATGGAATCGACTGCTTGACCATAAAGTTCCAGGCTTGTAACATGCAAGCAAATTGATTGCTGACCCTGACTCACCTGGCTACCGCCCAGAGTACGGCACATCCGACATGAAACTTGTTTGCAAAAAAACTGTTGTGAGGTATGTAATGGCGCTTGACTGAATTGTCACACCAATCTCCTTTCTCCACAAGGCGGTATTTATGACACTTGAAAAACCACAGCCTTCCTGCTTTTTATCAGAAGTGCAAAGCAATTGTCCAATTGTGTCAAATATTCTTACAGATCAAAGGATCCTGTGAACAACTTGAAAAAAAAACCTTTTTCACACCCATCAAGAAAATGACATCCTCTCAACATTTGCAAACATTTCAGATGTTCCAAAATGAGGGCAAAGTGCAGCATGGCAAATCTGACTGTCAAGTCAACTGTGCCTCTTTGATGTTAAATGTAGTTTTTTTTACAGTTGCACCACAAAATAGACTGTGTTAGGGAACATACTTAGAAAGGAAATCTCAAGTCTTATAGGTGTATCACATGGGTGGGGAATGTCCAAGCTTTTGATACATCACATCATCAATTTTTCAACATGTGAACACATGTATTGAAATGTTATGTAACATTGATTTCAATTATAAAAAAAAAAATGTTATTCTTTTTTTATTTGTGTTTGATTTAACCTAATAAATAATTGAGGCACCAAAAGCCCAAACTGAAACATGCATGCCCACAAAAACAGTTCAATTGGGTAACTGGAAAAAGGGCCTATCCCATGTCTTCCTTTGAGTTAATTGCCTTGCTGATGAACTATTAGCATCATGAGAAGGCCACAATTATTCCAATAAAGTCTGTCAAATTACCTTCCCCCATTCTACAAGGATGGTAATTGGGATGGCCAGATCCACAGAACCTGTGACCAATATGGCATCAACACAAGGGCCCAATTGCATTGTGTTAGTCTTTTGTGAGCAAAGCTTTTAAGCTGTCTGCCCCTGCCCTACTCCTTATTTTGCATGAACTGCATGTGTGTCCTAGGGCAGCCCAATTACCATCCTTATGACAAAAGGAGACTGACTAACTAACTAACTTCCCCCAAACGTTTTGGGATGTGTAACCAAAACATTTGCGGGGATGTAACCAATGATTATCAAGTTTAAACCCAAGACAATTAAAAACCATTGGAGCTTCAGGTGATAGTAAAATCCTTAGAAAATTAAATGGAACAGAAAGCAGAGGGCACTACAATTGTTTAATAATGGTATCATTATGATCATACCCAGTATGATCATAAAGAAACCCAATCAGTTCAATTCAATTCAATACAATACAATGCTAGTATTGAGCATAACACTGAAATGTCCACAATAAGATAAGAATCATTCACCTTTATATCTAAAAGACTTTCTCCTTTTGGTTTAAATAAGATACATGAAAAACAACGATAATGATTATGCATTTTATTTTATTTTTTTTAAAATCTGTTAAGCCAGAGGAAAGAAAGGAGATGGTTAGGGAAGGGAAGGGGAGGGATGTGATTTCAGGAGGATTTACAGAAGTATGTTGCATGAAGAGAAGAAGCAGAAAGAACGAGAGCACACAAAATTAATTTTCATCATCTTCATCTTCCTCTTCGTCTTCATCCGAGCTAGGCTCGGTCACATTACCCTCAACATTAACGTTGGCCCCATCGAGGCCGCCGAACTGAGCGATGGAGACCTGCTGAGGGGTTGTAGAAGACGGAGAGGGAGGCTCGGGTAGGGGAAGGATACGACGGGGCATAGCAGTTGAGAGTTTGAATGAGTAAGTGTGTCGATAATCGGGACTTGGACGAGCGGGTGGAATGGCCGAAGAATCGTCCTGAGTTCCAGCGGCGGATGTAGACTCGAGTTCGACGAAGAGATAAAGCGCTTCGAGAGGGGCATCCGCCCGGAACTTGCGGACCACTCGACGGCCGTTGCCTAGTCTGAAGCCGATCGTCACTCCGTCGGTTGCAGAAGGCTCGACCGGCATCTTCTCCCGTCGGGCCCAGTACCGCCATCGTCGCTTCTGTTCGGCCTCTTCGAGCTTCTCTTGGCGTGCTTTCTCCCGGACAATCTCCCTCAATTGCAGCTCCTCCAACCGCTTCCGCTCCGCCTCCATCTCCGCCTTCTTCCGCATCACTCTCTCCCGATCCAGTCGACCCGCCTCAGCATAAGCCCGGTCTTGTTCCTCTCGCAAACGGCGATCGGCTTCCCGCCGCGCCTTCTCCGTCCGTAGTCGACTCAGATACCCGTTCGTCCGTGGAATGACTACCGTGTTGATCGTCGTAATCAGCGAGCGACTCGACGTCCAACGCTCAGGCGATCCTTCCAATCGTGTGCATACTGACATCACATTCGACGACGATCGATTGACACTCGAGGTGATCGTCGTCACCGTTGATGATGGCCGTTTCGCCTGCAGTGAGATAAAGGCAACAAATGGGTACGTCGTCGCATCAAGAACATGGGCCGCTGCTCACTCAAATTCAAGAAAGCATACTCATCAGTTCTTTGATTCTCTCTATTGGTTTTGTATGTACAAACTAATCTGTTGGCTTACCAAATGAGGCATCTCGTTCCTTCACATCTCCTCCCCATACCAAAATGTCTTTGGTGCGAAGCAAATTCAGGAGTTCTTCATCCATCAAAGTACCTCTACCAAAAACAACACAACCAAATCAGGATATTGAGTCAAGAAGCCGTCCACAAGTATTGAAAGAAGAGAGATCAAGACCTTTTGAATTGATAGACATCATCGTGTTCTTCCGAGACCAGGACGACCATCAAGACCTTAAGTTCATCTCTAGCTTTCTGCACGGCATCATCGTACCCGAGGAGCAAGAATTCGGGCAATCTAGGGATCACAGGGTCCCCTGGATGAGCGGTAGTATAGGAGGACCGGGCATGCAACTCTTCTTCGAGCTCTCGAACCCATCTCTCTGCTGCCGTCCGTGGATCCGTCCTGGGTGTAGGTCCACTCCAGCCAAATGAGGATGGCCTTGGCCAGTGGAATGACATCGTCGGTAATCGTAAGCCTAGTAATCTTCCTATTCCATTTCATTCATTCACCCCGTATGTACAAAAATAAAACAAAGTTTTATTTTTTTTAGAAATGATCCCGTCATTGGAAAACTTTGCTTTTTTTTACTATTCTTTTGGGTACTCACCTATCAAGCTGAATACTGTCAAACCAAGATCAGCCACAAAAGAAACCGGAATAGCAATCAACCTAAACGGCCCAATCCATAGCTTTTTGTGAAGAAAAAAAAAACAAAAAAATGAGCACAATACATAAGATAAACAAAGCGAGAGTCAAAAACAAATAGACAAACCCTAAAGAAAAAGCCAAGCAGTTTTGAGGAAGAGCGTCTAGAGGGGCGAGGGGCAGAATCGAAGGTTCTCGAAGGTCGAGACGGTCTTCCACCAGACGAATGAGCAGGGGTCGTTAGATGAGGGGAACTGATGGGAATCAAGTTTCGATCCGATTGAGACGAATCGTCTAATGACAATTGTTCGTATGATGATCGGTCTGGATTCGATAGTGATGCACCGGCTGGTGTGGGATGGTGCAGGGTCGAATCTAGATATGCTTCAACTGCTGCCTGGAAAATATCCAAAAAAATTAAACGGTAGAAAACTCGATCAGAGAACGTAATAATAGTGGATTTTTCCTGATCTTGAAATAAAATTGTTCACTATTGATGAATTACCTCCAAGTTCCCATTGGCCAATTGTAATGCATTCCGAGCAGCTTGGATATCGGTCGTATTAGTGAAAGACAGGTACGAGCTGATAGCTTCATCATCGAGAGTATCTGGGTTTGTAGAGTTCATCGTTTGAGTGAGTTGTTGTTGATCAGGTTGAGTGTATAGAAATGTGTCAAGATGTAGATCGGTTGCTGGTGCTCGATCGGTTTTTTGGAGTGGTTGAAGTTGAACTCGACGATTGGCTGATTGTGGTACTTGCAACAAATTGTCCGCATCTGGGCTGGGCCTGGGCCTGGGCTCCCATACCGAGATGGCCCGCCAACTAAGATGTGCTTCCCCACCAAATTCACAAGATGGAAAATTTGTTGACTGATGTTTATGGTACATAAATATGTACCTCACAACAGTTTCTCTCTCTTTTTCAATCAACATCAATCCAATTGACCTACACATATGAAGCACCAAATGAACAAAAAAGACTAACAGAGAAAGTGGTGACTTGGTTTTCTTTCTGCTTTGCTTCATCTGAGGAGTCTGGAAAACCCCCAGCAAACAGCAACAGAAAGACAGAGATAAAGATTAGGCTGGAGTCCTATACACATTTCATATACACTAAGACTTTGTTGATGTGGAAAGTTAATTGAGATTTTGATCTGAAAATCAGTTGAACAATATTTGAAGGAAATGAAGAGACTGTATTAATCAAACATATATGAGCCATATAATTATATGCTAACACCACTAATAGATGAAGCTTGGATGAACCTGAACCAAGGTTAATATGTAGGCCCCTGTTCTAGCAAAGTGAGATGTTGTTAACAGACAAGACTAAAATTTATGTCAGAAAAATTATTGACTTGGGAAGAAGGGGATAACAAAGGACTGTAGAATGGTCTATGAGCTCCTGACTGTTATGTGTTATGTTGACCAATTATCTAAATATCTTTCCTACCTACACCACGGGGCGAGTTTTTTGAAACTGGCCCCATCCGCTGGACGCTTTCCTGAGGAGAGCGTCCAACGGATGCGATCAGAGCGTCTGAGGGACGCTCTGGCGAGCCAGCATCACTTGGATGCTTCCAAAAGCATCCAAGTGACGCTGGCCAAATATGAAGCGTCCAATGGACGCTAGGATTTATCGTCCATCGGACACTCTCCAACCAAGAGGGTCCGATGGGTGGTGGTTTTTAGTGTGTCCATTGGACACTTTGATTTAACATTTCCAATTGGAGCTGGTGGTCGATGGTCGAAAAAAGATCCAAAAGTTTGGTCAATGGTAGAAAAAAGCTCCAAAAAAGCGGTCGATCGTCGAAAAAGCACTCCAAAAGTGCGGTTGATTGTCGAAAAACACTCCAAAAGTGCAAGTGATGTGATTGTCAAAAAAATCTCTAAAAATGCACTTGATCATGAAAAAAGGCTGTGAAGTGGTGTACTCCGAAGTGCAAATTCGGTCTATGGACAACAATTGGGGTCTCCTTGAAAGAATGATTCTGTGTAGTGTCACAGCCCGCAATCGCGTGACGAAATTCAAATTTCGTCACGCTGACGTTTTGCATATTCATGTACAGATTCCCGCCCCGGCTGCATCGTCACCTGTCATCAATTTCGTCACCTCGGCCAATCCGCCTCACTCCACCAGCGGATTTCGTCAGCTCATCTGCCCCGACCTCGTTCACCCGCCCATTGCTACAACACACCCCCAGCACAACGCCACAACATGAGTCTCCAGATATGTACCTGCAGTGTATGCATTCAACAAATCATCACAACACCCGAAGGCGAATCAACTCGAGGCTGTTGGGTCCACCCGAGTACCCGTCGAAGACATTGGTCACAGGAAACTACCCCCCTGGATGCTCTTCCCAAATCGAAGTCCCCATGTCGATCTGTCTCTGCCCCATCTGAATCATTACCAACCAGCGAATCAGAATCCGAACCAGCCGACACAATTATAGAACCAGAATGCATCCGTTTGTTTTTCTGTTTTGTTTTGTTCTTCTGTTAAAAAATACTTACTTGTGCTAACAACAGCCTGCTACCTTTGTTGATAGGATACATTTATTATTTCATCGCGTGGCTCAGCTTGATATGCGGTATTAGTCAAAGCAACTGTCGAATCGCCCGAGATTGGATTGTTTTTATTATCAAAATCTTTCGAAAATTACCTCAAGACCGCAATGGATATCTACAGAGCTATAAAGACGTGCGAACGATTACAAAACATCTAGGCCTAGATCCTGAACTTGAGAGTAGCATCTGCTTCCCTAAGTGCTTTAGCCTTTACGAACCCGAAGACGCACCAACCAACTGCGGTTATCGAAAATCCAAGAACGCTCAAGTATGCGGTGAAAGTCTTTTCAAGTCCAACATTGATAAACTCTTACCTTATTACCAACCCGTCTCACGTGCTAAGCGACCTTCTTCACCTACTTTCAAGCCGTACACTCCCCGCTTGATGTACCACACTCAGCAGTTTGATTCTTGGCTGAAGTGGTTCTTGAACGTTCCTGGTATTGAAGACGAGATCCTTTCCTGGAGACAGCAAGTCCAATCAACCGTGGATAACAAAGTTGTGGACATTCAACAGTCTAGAGCTTGGCGTAGTTTTCAAGTCAGGAACGATCGACAGCTACACGCCAACGAACTTCGCCTTACCTTTTCAGTGTTCATCGATTGGTTCAATCCCTTCAGTAATAAGCTTGCTGGACGGCAAGCTTCGATGGGTGTCATAGCTCTTACCTGTCTGGATCTTCCCCCACACAGTCGAAATAAAACCCAGAACATATTCATTGCTGGCATGATTCCTGCCCCCAAAGAACCCGACATGACCACAATCTCACACATTCTGGCCCCCCTCGTCGATGAGTTGCTTTTACTTAACACTGGAACCTTTACGAAGACCCCTCAGTATCCCAACGGTCGTAGATTATCGGTCCATCTTGGCGTCTTAGTTGGTGATGTAGTTGCTACACACAAGATTGCTGGTTTTGCTTCTCACGCGGCCACTCTCTTTTGCTCCTGGTGCAAGTGTCGAAAAAAGAACATGTCAAATATGCAGGTTGGTCCAACACGAGATCGACGAGAAACACGATTACAGGCGACCCGATGGAGAGACTGTGACACAATTACTGGTCAAGGCAAGTTACTAAAAAAAAATGGGACTCGTTGGTCTGAACTAAACCGATTACCTTACTGGGATCCGGTCCGAAATGTGGCACTCGGTGTGATGCACAACTGGTACAAGGGTGTCTTACAGCACCATTGGCGGGTCCGCTGGGCATTTGAGCCGGTCCCACCCAAGCACATTACTCATGACGACCGCCTCGACGATTGGGAGGATGACGACTCAAGCGGATCCGAGAAAAGCCTTCATTTCCACGACAATGCACTCACGCATATTCGAAAAGCTCTACCTGATGTTATTGTCCCCCGCGGTGTAACTCAAGTCCCTCTAAACTTGGGAGATCCGAAGCATGGAAAACTGAAAGCAAGCGAATGGCATTTGCTTTTCTCAACTTACCTACCCCTCAGCCTTATCAATTTCCTCATCGACAACCCAGAAAATTGTGGAACCGGCGAGAATCAACAGTTGTTGCTCAACTTTTCATCCCTTGTTATCTGTACCAACATCGTGTCCTTGAAATCGACCACTGACCGCGATGCAACAAAATTCAAGGAGGCTTATCTGCTCTACACTCAAACCTCAAATCTAGTTTTCAATACACCAAAGATTGTTCCGAACCATCACTATGCGCTCCACGTTCCTGAGCAGATGAAGTGGTGGGGGTCTCTCTCCAATGTATCGGAGTTTGCTGGGGAAAGAGTCAATGGGATGCTTCAACAAATGAAGACTAATGGGATCATTGGTAAGTACACATGGATACCCTTTGAGTTATGCAGAAATAAAACCGCTGAAATCTTGATTATCAGGCCAGATTGAAGGTACCGTCTTGCGCGAATTCTGTCAAACCCAAAGGCTCGACGCCCAAGCTCCGAGATGGTCGTTGGACATTGATGATCACGAGTCCAAATCAAAAGCCACAAGGCTGGTCGAAGTACATCCAGTCCTGTATACGGCGTTGCTTCAAAAGCTCCAGAACGAAGGTTTGATCTTGCGACACTATCAACACATTCCTCATCCGGATGGCTCTCAAGTCCTGACTCCGTACGCAAACGAACTTGACGCATTTGAGAGTGACATTGGCTTGTACTGCAGCAAAACCAAACAGAACCGATTGGTAGCTTATATGAAGGATGGCTTAACTCGGCATGGGTGGATCACTCACATTTACAGCTTACCCAAGATCGAGGACAGAATTGTGGTGGCAATCCAGCAACTCCGAGACGTCTGCATGGGGGATGTGCTTGATATCAGTGAAAATTTCTTGCAAACCCTTAACGACTTGCAGCTGAAGGTTGTACAAGAAACGCCTGACCGTGAACTTTTGGACCCAGGTGAATTGATAGCTGTCTGTGCTTATAGAAGTTTGCCGGCTTGGACTTTTAGGCATCATCTTCCTCTGACTGTCTTGAGACAAATACCACGTGATCTTTCGCCGTTGTTGCTTTCCCCATCCCCCAAATGAGTTTATCTTCCATTTTCTTCCTCATAATGTAGAAACATTCCTCTACAGAATAACTGGCTTTTGTATTATCTCCTCCAAATGTAAAACAGTAAAGTACGATGAACAGATTGAATGAAACCGCCAAGGGCCAAGCGATAATCTTGAGTTCGATGAGATTGAAATAAGGATACACGAGAAGAGCCACTGGCAGTTATTGAACAGAGCAAATTTTGATCAACAACACAGTTAAATCCGTGAACTCTGCCAATGCGCCCAGGTCTTACAACCTGAATCTGTCGCTGGCGGTCATTTGTCGCATTTGCGCCTTTTCTCACGGTTTGGACAGTTTCATGCGTTGGATTGAAAGACTCGTTGAATTCCCAAAAAAAAAGAAACATGATCGATCCGAAAAAAAAAGGAATGAGTCTGACCAATCCGGAGGTGTGAGTACAAATACAAAGTGAATCAACAACAAGAGCACATGGCGACATTAAACATAGAGAGAGACAAGTGAGAGTAGTAATTGAGATGGAAGAGCGAGAGAAAACAGACAACATGATCGATGGGAGGGAAAACATAAGCAAGTGGGGGAGAAGGTCTTACAGTTGATGCAATTTTTAGTGATTTTTAAATTTTTTTTGGGGTTTTGTCAATTTTACGTTTTTTTTTTTTTTTTTTTCATTTTCATTTGGTTATAGAAAAAAAAAAATTGATCGGTATGAAAAGGGTCAAAGGACTTCGTCCTCGTCAAGTACCATGGCATTGTAACGAGCTTTGCGGGCGAGCTCTTCCTCGTCATCCTTGCTGGCGTCATCTCCCGCCTGTTTGTCTGGACCAGAACCAGCATCGTTCATGGAATCATTGACAAAGTCGGCGTCTTCTTCGTCCTCCTCGTTGGACGTGTGTGCCAAGTCAATTTCATCGCCTTTGAAGCTAGTATCTTCTTCGTCGTCTGTTGGCTCATCGTCATCGGCATTATCTTCGATCTCGTGAGTGAGATCATAAGGTTGGGTGAGACGATCAAAGAACTCCTGGGTGAACTTCCTGTCGGATAACTTTTCGGAAGCGAGCTTTTTCCCCATGAGCGATTGAGAGGCATCAGGTAGAAAAGCTACCTCACGAGTGTTGGCAATTTCCATCCGCTGTTGGGGCAAGAGGTCATTGAACCATTCATGGTTGTAGAAGTCGAGTGGCTGGCCTTTGGGTGGCTTCGGAAAAAAGGATGGGTGGGGAATAGATGGAACAACCCGCCTGCGTCTCTGAACACGCTTGCCATCCAGCTCATCAGACGTCAAGATGGCGGCATCAAGACGGCGGAAAAATTTGGTGGCGTTAGCTGACCGGAACTTGAGTGTCTTGATGATGTAAACTCTTTTCTTGGGGCAGTATTCGTCATCGCTGTGGCAGTTGACATCCGATATCACCTTTTGATACCGTTTTGGAAGATTCTGGGGCAGGGCGAATTTCAATCGGGAGTCTCGCAGCTGAAGAAAGCACACTGTGAGCATCGAGAGGTGAGTGGAATGATGTACTGGGATGACTTACTCGTTCTCTCGCCTTTGCAATCACTTTTCTCTCTTCGTCCATTCGGAACTTCCCAGACTGGGTTTTCTCTCGGTTGTACCGTTGCGCTTGCAAAAAGTGCACGTAGTGATTGTAAGCAGGAATCAGGAGCCCGAGATCCACTGCGTACTTCGGGTTGACGTTCATGTAGGCATAAGCCCCACCCACAGCAGCCTGACGGAAGGATTTGAGGGCAGCTTGTCGACAGGCCTCGTTGTAAAGTGAATCGGGTAAGTCTTCAAGGTCCGGCGCCCAGACACGTATACCGAGACGAGCAAGAATGGCCTGAGTGTAACTGACAAAAAATTCCTCCAGGTTTACCAAGCCCTTTCCAACCTTCTTCCGACCGAGCTTGAGATCCTTGAAGGTTACTACGTCTTTAACCGGGATAAGAGAAGCCGCAGCCGGGTCGTTTGTTATTTGAGCAATCTCGTCGATATTCGAAAAGCGAGAAGTGAATTCCTTGATGGTGTCCGGGTGAGGGGGGCCGGGGATGGTCTTCTGCTCGAGGAGGTTCCATATGAGCTTCAGGTGGACATATAATGCATCCTACAACAATAACATGTCAGCATGTGGAGTCGGTGGACATCAAGGAAAGGAAATTGGCTACTTACTTGAGTGGGTCCAAAGGACTCGGGCATGTCCCGCGAGATCATTGTAGGGGGTTGACCTTGGGTGAGCTCGTTTTCGGAGTGGAAATTCCGTTTGGGTTGGCTACCAGAAGGAGTCCTACGAGAGGAGGGGGGATTGGACTTGGTCGGTGTGGCGGACTTCGGCCCTTTCTTGACACTGGTACTGGCGTGGGGTTTGTTGGCTGGAGGGTAATTCCTCACAACCGTTTTCCCCTTATCAACCTTGGGAACCGTGTCTGTTGATGCTTGCGCATCTTTGAGCTCCACCTTCTCCATAAGCTTGGAGATGGCTTCATCCCTCGACGCAAGTTGAGCTTGTATCTGTTGAGCTTGCTGTTCAAGTGCGGCCGAGATTATGCTTTGAATATCCGAGGCAGATGCCATTATGGTTCAAGAAGTCTAACCTGCCGTAGATGAATGAGCAAAAATGCAGGTCAATGTGAGCTGGGGGGAAGGGAACACGGCGGAATGGGCACCGCATTTATATGCAAGAATCAAGGTATGTGTGAGGTCTCGGAAGGATGAGCGTTACAGTCTCAGTTTGTATGAACATGTCAATGTCAACCTATCTGCTGATCATGTAAATAGGTATCCAAGCCCAGAGTCAGACAAAGGGGGATTTGAGGTATGTAGACATGGGCTGACACGGGTGAGTACATCCAACCCAGAAAAAGGAAACTTTGACTAGAAAAGGATGGATGTGGATGCCAAGGGCTTCACGCTTGTTGATTGCATTTCGAAATATGTATGTCTTTGTTTGTAAGTATGACTATGCTTGACAATGTTGATGGAGAGCTGTCGTCAGCTGACTGATTGGGCAGATGAGCTGACGAAATCCGCTGGTGGAGTGAGGCGGATTGGCCGAGGTGACGAAATTGATGACAGGTGACGACACAGCCGGGGCGGGAATCTGTACATGAATATGCAAAACGTCAGCGTGACGAAATTTGAATTTCATCACGCGATTGCGGGCTGTGTGTAGTCAGTAAGGACTTGCTTTGTGGATGTGCAGTAGCATGAGGTCATGGGTTCAAATCTGGGTGAGCTCCTTTTTTTTCTTTCCATTGCAGAAGTAAAAAGCATCCATCGGACGGCTTGAAAACTATCCAGTGGACAGTTTTCCAGAAACCGTCCGCAAACTGTCAGGCAGAGTAGTGTCCAATGGACACTCTCTGCCCTGCAAGTTCTGGACACCTCAGATGATGTCCAGAAGAGTGTCCATGGGACATCAGAATAGTCCCGTGGTGTAGTTACCTAGTATTTGATTTCTTTTTCTCACTTGCTATTTATTTCTGCCTCGCTTTTATGTGGATTTTATTGTTATTTTTTTTTGGATTTCGTGAACTGGAACATCAAGTAAACATCAAGCAAAACAAAACAAAACAAAGCAACATGAATTGGCGGTTTTTTTTTCTTCTTTGGTTTGTGGAAAAAAATAAAGACAAGATTTCATATTACGTAAAGCAGGTGGAAGAAGAAAAAAAAAAAAGGTGGAAAAGTTTCCATAAAACAAAAGAAAAGGAAAAAAGGTTAAAGAATGTGAACATGTAAGAAGAGGGGGAGGGGGGGGGGGTATGAATCTTGGCAGAGATGAATGTGGTGAAGAGAAAGCTAAGTAAAAAACGTTAAGATATATAGCAGGGCCGAGTGAAGAGGGGGGTGGGGAGTGTTTAAGTAAGGGTAAAGTAAGAACAAAAGGTGTGTATATATGTATGAGTATGAGTGTGCACGTGGTAGAGATTTTCTTTTCAGAGTTTTCGAGGATCGACCAGTGTTAATCGAGATCTCGAAAGATGAACCGTTTATAAGAATAAATCACGAAAAAAGGGGGAAGGGATCGAGTGGAGTGGAGTGGAGTGGACAAATGGTGATCGATTCGACTTCCACTAGATAGATTCGGTGATTGTTCTTGTGCTTGAAGATCCAGATCGGTTGCTCTGCTATCGTTATTAAATTCTTCTTCTTCTTGGTTGATGGTGATGATGGATGGTTGGATGGTTGGATGGTGGTGGATGATGATGATGGGTTTGGATTTGCTGAGGGCAGGAGGGAGGGGGAGTGAAAGGAAATTTAATAAATAATAGTAAAACAGAAAAAAAAAAAAAAAACGAGATCTAAGGGGGAAAAAGCGCATAAGATCAAGGCCAGAAGACAGCTTCATAGAAAGCAGAAGGGAAAAGGCTCGTCTTCGTTTCTTGGGGGATCAAAGAGAAAAGTAAAAAAGTGCGAGAGGGATAAGAAGGGGTGATAAGGTGGGTAAGATGAGATACATGTGGTGGTAAGGTGTCGGGATCAAAACGAAGACCAGCGCATGTTATCGATATCTATCTATCATAGAGAGAAAAGAGTTGAAAGAATAGATATACTTTTAGCAACAGATGAACTGTCTTCTAAAGAAAACAGTACATCAAGGAAGCGGAGGGGATAAGGGGAGTAAAGATACAGAAAGGATTAGACGGGCGATTTTTTTTTGTATTTTTTAGCGTTTTTTTTGAAGGGGAGGGGGGAGGGAGGGGGTTAGGTAGGAGGAGCAAATCGGTTAGGGGTACCACCATCGGAAGAAGAAGAATTTGTTGCAGAAGTAGCAGAGGGGGGTCTGATTGGACCTAACGGTTCGGCGTCTACATAAACGAGCGAAAGATGAAGGAGTCAGTTTTTCTGTTTGGATTGACCCACAAGAGAATTGGAAAGAAAGAGTGACTTACCTGAAACCACGTGCGCCTTATCCTATTTGCTCTTGACTAGAAAAAAAAAGCAAAGCAAGGAAAACGATGAGTGAGTAGAGAAGAGTCAGGAGAGAAGAAGGATTCTTTGAGAAGAGTAGGGCAGAGACTGACCGACGATAGGGATGATGATGATCAAGAGCAGGACGATGATGCCGAGGGCGATCAATAACCGCATCTTCATATCCTTCCACCACATCTGTTTCCTGACCCGATTGGCACCTCGTCGAAAGCCTTGAGCGGAGACCGCAAGATTGTCTGGATAGATCGTGTCCACAAGCTCATCAGTCTTTGAACCTCTCTCTCTTTGTTGAAGGGGGGGTTTTTGGAAAGATAGATACTTGAAATAAAGAGAAAAAGAACTGACCGGTTTTATCCTGTAAGGTGTCTAGTCTCTCTCCTCGTTCGGCTACCTTAGTGATGTTATCCCGCATGATTCCGACAGTATCGTCGATCTATATTTATCAAGCCGAAAGATCGAAGCAAACGAGGGTTATTTTTTTTGTTCAAGTTCCATCTAGTGATCTTGGAGAGGGGCGATAGAGTTCAAGGGGAACAGGAGGAGAGGAGTGATTTTATGGGGGTAGATGGAAAGAATTGGGAGGAGATCGATCTACTGAGTTGATAGTTGTGTTTGGGGTCCCTTTGTGTGGGTCCTGGGTCTCCCCTGGATATCGGTCAAGGTTTCCCTAATGTATTGATTTTCGGTTTCTGATTCGATATGACGAGTCTTGTTTGTTGTTGTTCTTGATGGTTTTTGGTTTTTGGGTCGAGTGGGGTAGTTATAAAATGGTTGAGGGTTGAGTGGGCGTGGGTAGTCAGGCTT